ATGTGGGTGTGGGTGGGATTGGCCTTAGGCCTGTCCGATTTGGGCGACGCAAGGTTGTATGCCACAAACACCCGCTCTAAAGATCCAGCTACTGCCACAACCTCGTCGCGCCGGACAAGGACTGTCGCGAGCGCACCCAAGATCCGCAGTTGGCGTTGTCGGCGGCGACTTGATGCTGCTCTGAGCAGGAGCGAATAACGGCGCCCTTTGGTTGATCCAATATGGAGGACCCGGTCGAGGAGACACATGAGACTAATCATAGTGCGGAATCGCATCTGGGGGTCTCGCGGGGGTTGACCGCTGCTTTTGGGAGCTCCTCAGGGGCTGGAGACTCGAGAATATCATTTTGCGTGGACTTGAGGGGGTTAGCCAACCTCGGGTCCATAGATCCAGCGGGCATTGGGGGAACGGTGCTTGGAGATGGCCTTGAGTATTCAATTGGTCATGGCACCGGTGCGCGGACAACGATGTACAAGGGGTGTTTGGACCGGCGGGGAGTTGGTCGTATAAGTGTTATATGGTAAGAGCTTCACACGGTCCGGAAGCGGCTGGGTAGGTGCTATCCTCTCTCCCTGCATCCGGCTGCACGCTGGCCTCCTGGCCTCCCCACCTCCGCCTGTTTTTTGGTCAAGGGTTCACTACTTGGGCAGCGCAGAACGGCAAAAAGCACGATCGGCGCGCAAGACAGCAACGAACAGGGGAGTTAGAATGAACTTTCAAGGTAGGACGAACAGCAGCCCCTTCAGCAGGCCCAGCACCGGAATACCGCATCGACAATGGAGTGGGACCCTGGGTGGAACTTCCAACGCCTATGTTCAGCCTGTTAATGAGGCCCGGCACTAGCTGGAGGTCATGCGATTCATTGCGCGTCTCCCGTAGTTAGGCTGGCGATATGGTGTGCGGCCGTGTCTTTTCCTATATATGAGGAGAGGAGGGTTTTCAAGTTGGCATGTAACGTGGGGGCTCGATAATAATCACATTGCTACCATTAAGTATTACGTCTATTCTATTTATGTACCCAAAGTTTTGGTCTATCCGTGGTGATCTCAGGCTATTTAATTGGGGAAATAGTATGTTTTAGTGAATAGCGCAAATACCCATCAGTAATCATCGATTAATCATCGTCGAGTGGACTTGATATAATTTCGTCGCCTGAGAGTGGAGTTGGGTCGGGAGATCTAGGAGATGGTGGTAGCGAGTCTCCCCCAACAGAGTCTTGGTGCGAGCGGAGAGGCACAGATCTTGCAATCTTATTATCAATTTCTTTTCGGATTCTCCCAACATGTGGTCGTCCGGAAGCGCGTATGGCGTGCTCGTCTTGTGGGATCCGATCGTGCGTATGGTAGGCTTTTTTAGTGTGCATGAGAATGCCTCTAACAGTTTAGAGCATATGGGATAGCAGCGTTTTGACGTGCCAATTGCAGTCTTGTCATATTAGATGGCTGTGGGCTTGGAGTTATTGAACATCAAGCTCCGGGTAGCAAGAGCCGCTTCGCAATGTACCCGTCTACTGAAACTAGAACCCTTGTATGGATTTTCTAGAGGTTCGGTAAAAAATCTTGAGCTTCTGCTAGATTTTATCCGCAATTTCTCAAGGGCACCACGACCACTTCGAAGTTCGATATCCACATACTAGTAGTGCAGCCCGTTCCCATGACTCGCAATAACATCTTTGACAATGGGCACCAAAGGTGCTATCACTGTATCAAGGGGGGGAGGGATATTATGCATCTTCAAAGTTGACATGGCCTGGCTAGTGGGAAGGGTGCCCGACTGACGATAAAGATTCCGGGTGCGGTCGAGCGACCTGACGTGTGTTACTTGAAGCCTAGTAGACTTCAAGTAACACATATCAGGTAGTAAGCCATCGGTGAAAAATCTTGGGCTTTGATCCACAATTTGTCAAGAGCCGCTGTGGGAGAGTTTTATGAGCTCTGTAGAACCCGGGGGAACGAAATCGGTCGACGAACCACAAGAAAAAGGATGAGTATGGGAGAACCGTGCGCGACGTAAACTCGTAACTTGTTTCGTGTAACTTGTATCGTGTAGTTTGCTCTATCTTGGTTGTCCCTTGGGATAAATTGGGTGATCACGAGGGTGAATTGCAGGCCGCCTTTTCACAAAGAATACAAACGAAGCCATGCCGCGCGCGTGATCTTGCGCCGGCAGGTCCAAGACGACGAAGTAGGTAAGTGAGAGTATGGAATGGGAAGGAAGCTGACCGATGATCCTAGCTCCGCGTAAGTCCGAAGCGACAGAAATGACTCGGGGATCGTCCACGCGCTCGGGTCTCTATTGACATACGATGGTTGGCTCCCTTCAACCACGGAGAGCCCGAGAACGCGGAAGTTCGACACTACCGTCTACCGCGTTGGAAACCTTTGGAGCGCAGATCGTGGGTTCTAGAGATAAGTACCAAAACGGGAGGGGAGTAACAAACTGGGTAATATACTGATACCATCACAAGTCCAAATCCAAGAAGGGTAGACGAGGAAGGCATTGAACGCGAGCCGACATGAGCAAGTCGATGGATCGTAGAGTAAGCGTGAAATCGGGGGCAAGGCCTAAGTGTGGCCCAAGCCACACCGCCACGACCATTCCGATGTCCACATAGTGCAGTCCGTTCCCATGATGTGCAATAACATCTTTGACCATGGGCACCAAATGGCAAAGGTCCCATCACTGTGTCAAGGGGGGAATGATACTATGTATCTTCAAAGTTGACATGGTCGGGCTATTGGGAAGGGTTCCTGACCGACAGTAAAGATTCCGGATGCGGTCGAAGTCTGAGGGAACTTGAAGTGACGCTCCGTCCCTCAGAGGTAGGAAAGGCCGAGTCATCTTCTGAGGCCCCTGTTTCCCCTTCCGTCTCCGAGCTGTCCAGTTTGTCTTCAAGGTAAATCAGCAGTCGACTGCCGCTGCCGAGTAAGTAATGTAGTTCAGAACCACCAAATACATCGAAACACAGTCAATGGCCTCCTCGAGTTTGTCCGTGGTTGGCTTCCTGGGCCTCTTCCTACCCGGAGCCTGAAGCTTAACAAGTTTTTTCAAGGCATTCCGATACCCCACCAGCGTCGCACGGAGCAACTTGTGAAACTCACGAAATGTCCTAAAAGGACATTTCCGGAGTTCCATAAGTTGGTAGTAAGGCCCCGAAGGTTGGAAAAATTGGCGGAAACCTTCTCGAAAAACTTGGTACCAAGCTCGCTGTGGAAGAGCTCGATGAGCAAACGATTAGACTTATTCAGCGGAGAGGCCCCCCCAGCCCACTCACTGTCGATTGGGAGCTCAATGCTCCTAGTTGACAGTGCAGAGTGTTGCGTCAAAACATGGGATGAAGTGGCGAGAATGGTTTATGCGGCGATGCATCTTGAGAGCTGATGTTCCAATTACATACGCCTGGCGGCCTGGAAGCATTCCGGGAAGTCCTGCATGCTTGATGCATTGACGAATTGCCTTATTAACTCGGCGTGGTTGTTGAACTCGTTATCAGGCCTCCAGGCCTGATAACGAGTTTAACAAGGGCCGCCCGGTCGCATTGCTAACTGATATTCGAAGACCACCCTGCGGAACTGCTCACCTACCCTACCTCCGCGAGGTACTGTCAAAACCTTTTTGGAATCCGAAAGGCCCTCGGGGCTTAGCATGGACACCCGGGGCTGCGTGTCCGCTACTATGTTGCGGGGGTTGGGGCAATTAGGACGTGGTTGGGAGCATAGGGATCGTTTGTCAACGCTCGAGGCTTCGGGCTTCCAACCACTACCGTGACTTCATGGCCCCGGGTGAGGAGGTTCGCGAGTGTGGCCAAGGCTCGTGGCTGGGCCCTTTGGGCTGCGCCGAGTGGCGCTTTTGGATTCCTCTCGTCTTTGATATTGAGGGCTTTTACCAACAAGCTTATAAGGCTCGATGTAGTTCGAAACCTCATTCGGGGATCCCGAATGAGGTTTCAAACTACGTTGTCACCCAGGGTTTTTTACTATAGGGCGAGGGGTGGGGTTCTTGCTGGGGGTGGTAGTATTGTTGGGGGTTGAACATTGAACATTGAGATTTAAAACTGATAAATTGCATGAGGCGACCGTTGGACTCTTCGATTAGATCATACATAATTCACTTAGTCGCTCGTTTGGTTTTTCTCTCGCGCGTTTGAACGGGGTACACACGATATATCCGAATTCACTCGTTTTCTTCGACGTTGCCCGGACCTGTTAGAACGAGAATTCGACAAAAAAACCGGGTTAGGATCTTATGCTATTCCGCTAGTTGATGATTGCAATCGTTACCCAACCTTGAACGAGATAATATCAATATTGGTTCGAACTTGGATTTCTCAGGTATATTAGCAAGGTGCTGGTAGCACATATTAAATCTACAATACCCATCCAAAGATCAACCAATAATGAGCCAACCGCATTGCTAGCCCTTCCCAGCCCAACGTCACGAGTCTGCCTCCACGTCCTGCTGCACGAGCGTCTCTAGCGCCCGCATTACTGTGATTACATGCCCCACCTCGAAACTGCCTACGCACCCAGGGCAACCTCCCCGCCCCGTTTGTCATCCTGGATTCCTCGCTGCAAGTTTTGGGCCGCGGGAGCTGTCCGGGCGTGAGCGAGTGGGGTCAACGCAACCGAGGTCTGGGGTTCGTCAAATGATCTTCTTGCTGTTTGACACACTAATGAACTGGCCTCTGCGAAGGAGACGGCAAGGATGTGTTTCACCAAAGACACACCCAAAAGCGAAGATGATACTACCCGATGATTTTAGGGTTCAATCCTTCGTCGGGGAGTTTCACATGCTTCGCGCTCTGCGCCTTTTTAGATTGGCACAGGATGTTTATCTTATAGTTGTGGTGATCGCTGGGAGCGGAGCGTAGGCCATCAAGTTTATTAGCGAATCACATTATGGTCCACTCAATCCACTCTGGCGGCGCTCTCAATATACCAAATCCTGAAGCGAATTGGCTAGAAGAATATTTTGGGCGTCGGGGGATCGTGAGAACTACATGTCCCATGGCTTAGTTGGTTACGGCGTCCGACTGTTAATCGGAAGATCGAGAGTTCAAGTCTCTCTGGGACAGACCGGATATATATTTTTCCACGACACGCCGATAAGCGATCCCACTCAAGGTCTGAAGCAAATTGCATGTATGAAACCATGGAGATGTTGGTAGTAATTATAACAGAATTGCCTGTATAGGAAGGTATAACATACACATAAGGAGAAACGGGTACACACTACTCAACACCTCCCTCTAAAGCTTTGACTATGCCAAATGCCGCACCGGCCGCAACACCGCCCACCATAAGAGTGCTGACCGCACCCCACACATAACCGCGGAAGCCCGCACCAGCACCAGTGACGCGGGATTTGACGGCGCCAAACATGAGAAGCACTAAGCCGGTGACGAGGGACGAGTAAAACAGCGCTGTATGCGCGTGTGGGATGAAGAAGTATGGTAGGAGAGGAATGAGACCTCCAAGGAGGTATCCCATTCCGATCGTGAATGCGGAGATATACAACCGCAGCGTCGGGATCTCTTCGAGGCCCTGGCCGAACTTGAGCAGGAATGCTGTAAGCCCCACGTCGTTGCTCCACCGTAGGCGCTCCTCGTCCGCGGGCGCGGGAGGCTGATCTGGATCGTGCTCGCCCTCGACGTCACGTAGGCACTTTGCCACCGCCGCACACGTGCGGTCGTCCACGCCGACGGGGCCGAGGACCTCTGCAACCTCGCGCTCCATCTCGCCGGCACAACTGCGGACAACCCGGGCGCGTGTGTGGTGACGGAGGTAGCGGTAGTGGTCACGCTCGGCTTGGGAAGCAAGGAATCCGCCAATGCCCATGGATATGGCACCTGCGATAAGCTCAGCAATACCACCC